AGGGCCTTTTTCTTCTCATATGATTGATGATTGACGGGGGTCAAATGAAAAAAACACACATGAACCCCTATGAACCCCTAACGTTGCAAATAGGAGCACTAATACTCAGTGTTCCATGGCTCCCTGCCCATTGAATCCAATTATATTTTAATCCACACTCAAGGATCCATCGTTGATTTGGCCCGTGGTTTCACACGCTCTTGCGAAAGGCTCAGGAGGCTTTCAGCGTTGAATTATCCATAGCGAGGGATTGGGGGCTCACGGTTGAACACCAAAATATATTCAGCATGCCAGTTTGCAAGCAAGAGTCTCAGCGGGTGGAGATTCATCATGCTGGCAATAGGTGCGCTGGTGAGTTTGTTTGCGGTGATCTTCAGTGCAATTTGTGACCCTTTGGTGTGGCCTTCGGCTTCTCCTCCTCATGGGCACGTCCTATTTCTTTTCGCTGTTATGGGCTCACTAACAACACTGGCGACGCCTGTCAAGCTCTTTGCCGCAGCGCTCTTCTGTGAAGTCTTTTTGCTATTGGCCCTTCCCTTGTGCCTCTTTAGTTCCTGTCACGTAGAAAGACTCACGATGGAACGGTTTATGGATGGTTCGTGAGTCGTGGTCGGGCCCATCTGTCTCTTCCCTGTGGCACCCCCAAGATCCACCCGTTATTTTATATTATGGGGGTGCCCGTCTATTTTTATTCATTTCTTATCTTTATCACCATTAATTATATTAAAAGACCTAAAAATTAATGGTGATAATTATATTTACTTTATGTGATCTTGGTGCCTACCTACCCCTTTTGTTCCTTTATTGTACCCTGGTGGTGGGATGCTTCAGTCATCCCGCGCGTTCCGCCAGCATTGATTTTGCTATGGGTGACCATTTGCCAGTCCCTGTGTGGCACAACCGCGTGGAGAAGCGCTGGGCAGGGGGTCTCATGGTGATCTCCCTGGTCAGCCTTCTAGTTGGAGTGCTGCTTCTTGTTGCAGGGAACTTCCTCTGACCTTCATGGCGCCGCTCGGTGTTGAGTTCTCATCCATGCTTCTGCCGGGGAGATTTGCGGAAGAGTTCGGCAAGTTTGGTAGCTATGTTAGTGTGGCAAATGTCCGGCGGAGAATTAGACTCGAGATGATATGATATTTTGTGACGTGGCCGCCTCCAAGTGTAGCATGAAGAATCTCATCAGTTGGACTGCGGTGAAGCCAGGGACGTGGTCAAACTCCTCACCCTTTTTGAATTCCTCGGTTAATTAATGTCATTGCATTGGACCTGAAGTCGAATAGCTGCAGCTTCCTTGGCGTCTGTTGGATGTCGGGCGGCAAGACGTAGTAAGCAATATTGAGCAATAGCAAGTTGCCCAGCCAACCACTGGTCAGAGGACCAGAGGAGTCATTTAGACATATTTAGACACCCTGGTTGCCTTATGCTGCCTGCGCTTTATTTGTGGTCTTTCTCTCCCTGCTTCATGCCAGCTGACTGCCAGGCAGCCTGGGTCCTCAGCAGGGTGAAGATGGATTCCCAAACGAGATGGCAATCATAAGTGGGCTTGAAAGAGATTCGGGCTTCGAGTGCAAGTTCATGAGCTTCGATCTTGAGATGTTCCATGTAATTTCCCTTTGCAAGCCCCCATGTGCATTGGTAGATCAAACATTAACATATCGAACCCACAGATTCCCCCCCAAAAAGAAGCACCGACGAGGTGACGCTGGGGCGAAGCGTTACACCGGCTCCTTTTTTGGAGGCGCCGAAGGAAGGGAGCACCATCGCAGGTTCATTCAGTTGCATTGCTGTTATGATGTGGATGTACATGCACAACATATTGCAATATATAATAATATACATCTATAAATAAATAAAACATATTATATATACTTGCATCGAAGTAGCTTTTGCATCTGATTTTTGTTTTTTTTTTTTTTTGTGTGTGTGTTTCTTTCTTTCTCCTGGGCCTTGTATTTGTACTAGGAGGTGGTCCATGGTCATGTGCAAGTGTTTGCTGTTTCTATACATTATATAAGGCTTATTGCATTTTGTTGCACCGCATGCCCCAGAGCTAGGCATGAAATATGAGCCTTGAGAGTAGCCTTGAGCACTTGTCAATGAAGGACTCCACTTACAGAACCCAAATCAAGAGAGGTGACTACTAGTTGCTGGCAATTTTCGTGGTAGGATTTCACAATATGCAACAAGGCCTCCAGAACAGAGAAAGTCGACCGAGAGCATGGAATGAGCTAGAGGGGTGATCTGGAGAATGGGCGCCTTGGGGCATGTCCATGGGAATGTGTTAGGCAGCATGTCTGCATCCTTCGGTCTCTCCAAGGGATTCATGCAGATTAAACTTTGCCCGCACACCACCCAAGCTGGACCGGATAGCTACAAGCACAGTGACCAGGTGTGGGGAAACGCACCGGGGCAACCAGCTCTAGCTAGGGCTCCAGCTACTCACCCGCAGAACCAGCTACATCGGTCCGATGTCGGTTTGTTGCTTTTCTCGTCGGCGAAAGCGCCCGGCTGCAGGGATCCAGAGGGACATCACTGACATGGACAGGCTGGGCAGGCTGGGCGGGTTCAGCGAGCTGAAAGGACAGGAGACGCCTGGACGGGGTTTGTGGGCCTTTAGATGATGATTAGATCACTCCAAAAGTGTCCGGCTCACCGGTGATGAAGATGATGAAGAGAGACAGCAGTAAAGGTTGGCCGTCACAAGAGAGAAATTGGCAAGATGATTAGTTGACAACTTACGACTGATACATTGATTCCATACTCCTTCCAGGGAGCCAGAGGCCAGTGACACTTGTGTGACATGTTGGGTTTCGTAGTTGACCATCTCTCCGCAGCTGATCTCCAGCCTCAGCTGACAATGTAGTGATCAGTGACCTTTGGAAGGTCCAGAACTTCAGGAGCACCGTCGGGGCAACTCAGGTGAGGAAACTAACCCTGTTTGCGAATTAAGGTTTGGATTTCTGATGACTTCTATACCTACTTTCTGAGAAGGGAAGGAGGCCCCGCCGAGAACGAAACGGGTGTGTACGACTGAGCAACGTTTGACATCCAGAAAGCAACAAAGTCGTCGTTGTAGCGGTTGCGAATAGCCATCCACATCCACTTCAATTTGCCACAGAGGTTACAGTATGTATCGTAATTTTGCTATATTTTGCTAATGTTTGGTATGTATAGTTGCTCTACTCGCCGCGGCTAGGACCGTGATGCGCTGGATTCTGGCAAGCCTCGTGCTGTCACTGGCACAAGGTGCGCGGACAATCGCGAAATGTGCCATGTTTTACGATAGATTCCTGGAGGATCCTGGAGGATTTGCTTCAATCGTGTGCCTCCTAGAATTGCTGAAGTAAACCGAAATGGAGATTCCGGGAGGCCTCAGGTGGTGAAGGATCTAAGCTCACCGACCACTGCATGCCATTGACACGATAAAGACAATATAAAGACAACACCACGGAATATTATATATATGTAATTACTGCACACACATAATATATATAGTAATATATATATATATAGACGGATCTCCAAAACTTGGACTCGAGGTTTGCTGGCTGCTTTTTGCATGGCGGCCCACTTGCTAAACTGTACTCAAAGTTCCATTTTAAGATGTTGGCAGAGTCGTTTGATAAATTACAAGTTCACAAGTTACATCCTGGCCGATTCACTTCACCTTCGCTGGGTACTTAGCGCAACAACGCTGATAATTTCCGCCTGGCCCCCCGTGAGTATAAATTGAACCCATTTACATCCATTTACCGTTTCCTTCAAACCATTAGGTTGGAGGCCATCGCTACTAGTAGCAAGGACGCTATAGTAGGTTGGAGGCCATCGCTATTAGGTTATTTCCTGGTCTCCGCCTCCGAGGCCTTTTGGACTCAACACAGGGGCAGCTGAATCGACACTGGCGGGGCTGGGCTTCGCGTCTTCGCCGAGTGACCGTGGTGGGACCGACACGCCCGGAACACGGGTCCTCCAGCCCCTTTGGTGTCCGGGTGTCCGCCAACTGGTCGAACTTCTAGAGTCTAGAGTGATAGCTTGCTTTTTCGGCAGTCCTCCACAGGTACAACAGCAAGATATTGATTGAATGAAGCTGGGGGGGAGAATGGAGAACCACCTTACCAGGTCCATCACACACACTCATGGACAAATTAAGCAGCTAGGTCCAGGTGGCAAGAGTTCCGAACCAACTAGACCCAATGAGGTAGTATGCTGTATGATGCTGTATGCTTACTTAATACGTCGCCTGGGGTCCACGTGTCACCATGGAACCGCCTTGTAGGTGTCGATCGATTTCTTCAACGGGTCCAGTGAGGAGTCTGGCGAGTCGGTTTGAACACGGAGTCTGTTCTAACACGTCGCCTTCTGGGCGCAGTTGGGCTGCAATTTCCTGCAGGCACCACTTCAATCGCTTGGATATCGAGCGGCGACAGGCGGGGGCCTGGTGAGAGTCGGACTTACACGGTGGCAGAGGTAGACAAGGTCAGCGAGCCGCGTGTTTGGTGGGATCAGTGAGGCCTAGACCCGTGGATGGCTTTGCTGCGTGAAGTATGAATTGCAGAAATATCTTCAATGTTTACTTATTGCTGAAATATATCTCGCTGATTGTTGGAGGATATATATATATATACCGGAAAGCTGACCTCTCATGAGATCGGCTAGTTGCTCAAAACCTGAACCCGGTTTTGTGTAGTTAGCTTTCAGCTGGAAGACAATCCAAAGAAACTACCATGACGTTGACAAGCTGGCTGGTCTGACAAGGCCTTGCGTCGTATGTTACGCGGCACCACCGGCTCTCCAGACGAGGTCGGCACGGGAGGAGGTGAAATGGATGGTTGCTTAACAATTTCACACACGTGCTGCATGAGCATCTGGTCTATGTACGGTCAGTGGATGTTTGTTGCAGCCAACATTCTTCAATGCTTCTTGGATGTTTCTACGTCATGAAAGAAGCAATAATGAGGCCTCTCCTGTGCTGATGTCCAATACGTTCCGGCAAGATGACAAGGTTGGTGAACTCGATTCAATGCACTTGCCTTTTGACTCTGGCATGAGACACCACCAAAATCGGGCAGCTAGCTTAGCAAGGAGTGTGTTCAGAAGATGCCTGCTTGCTTCTGGACAAGCCTGGAATCATCTGGAAGCTTTAGTCAAGCCACATGACTTTAAGATGCTGGTCTCCAATGCAATGGTCGGACAATTTCCAGTTTCTGGCCCACCCAAAAATCTTGGCTCCGGTGCTGGCGAACCAGTACCGGGCCATCTTAAACCATCAAAGCATCCTGAAGCAGTGCGCAACAGAACACCCTGAAGCACCACATGGTATGTGTGAGGAACTTCATGAAACTTCCTCTTGAACTCTCTTGAATTGCCTGGTGAATTTCAGAGCAGGAAAATTGCTTGAAGCTCGTCCTCATCCAATTCTTCTTCTTGCTTTTTGGCAAGGGCACGAGCGTGAGCAGCACAATCTACGAAAGCCAGCTCCAATTTGGTGATTCAAATCCCAATTCATTGCATGTGATTGCCCGGAATTCAAGCATGATTATTTGACATAGGCATGTCATGGCATGTCTGAACGGGGTAAACTTCTACCAATCCGACCCTGGGGAAGACAAGCCCAGACGTATCTCTGAGCTTGATGGATCCGGACTGGTTCACCACGGCTGGTTTTCCTTCCGACATCACATGCAGGGAAACAAGAAGCTAGTAGAAACAAGTGCCACGCTACTAGAACAAGTGCCTTACTAGTAGTAACAAGAAGCTACTAATTTTAATTCTACTAGCCTTCTTGTTACTAGTAGTAAGATCAAATGCTCAAGGTCAACGTCTTCAGGTTTTGCAGATTGACGCTGTGTGTGTGTCCCACCTGCCCAGGTCATGCAGCCAATTTCCGTGCGCAGGAATGCCCTGTAGTTAATTAAGCATATTGAACATGACGATATGACCATAGAAGACTCATAGATTGTATGGATGCACACAACCTTTTTACGGTATTCTTGTGGCATGTACTTCTTGTAGAAAGCTGTGTCCACCCCCACCCACAGCATGGCACCTGTGGGCACTGCCCTAGAGAGGGAGGCCGAGGGTGCCGCAGGAGAAGTTGATAAGCGTGGACGGCGTCTATGACAGCCTTCAAGATCAGCGTAGCCACGAGCGGGAGCTGCCGTCGTTACAACCAGGGGGGTCCATTTGAGGATGGTGTGGTCCAGCGAGCCAGTAGAGATCCCCAAAGGCAGCGGATGTGCTTAGAATTAGCTCATAACATGTGACAATCCTTGAGTTTCTGAGTTTGGAGCTACTTTGTGTATTGTCAGAATGCTCCATAGAGCGCATAGAGTTCCAGCATGAGCTGAACATTTCGTTGTTCGGAACATCGGAAGTTGTGATACTATATGTTGTGGGCCGGGCAATATTTATCTAGTGGCGGCTTCTGATTCAGATTTGTGGACAAATTGGACGCCCTCTAGAAGTAGACAAGTTCCGCTTGGAGAGATGTAATTACCTGCCAAACAGGTGGGTTTCCACCAAACCATGATGGTTGGTGTGTGAAAGTGCTGTTCATGCAGGTCCGGACGAAACACTTCCTGGATAAATCCACTCCACCGCTGATGCGAGCGCGTCCAGGACTCAATGATGGCCTCCTTGAGTTCTCAAGGCAATGGATTGACGGGCGTGTGCCTCCCACGTGGGTTCTTTTGCTGGTTCTGTAGCTGGACCACTGGAAGACATTCAATGACTGGTGACTAGAGAGAACGAAGATGCACCGTTTTAGCATCAGAGCTTGCTGGTCGTTCATGTGCCTTGCAGGGAAATCATTATCATTTGCTGAATGATTGCCTCTTAGTTCTCATTGTGTTTGGCTTGTATTCATATGTTTCATATTGTTTTTCTTAGCCTCGCAATTGTTGTGCAAACGCTTTGCTGACTCTCGCGCTGTACCTAAGTACAGTACTGAGTACCATTAGAATGGCATTTATTTCCCAAGCATGTGTCATTGGGCTCGCCTCCAGCAGGCGCACGCGCAGAAGTGGAAGATGCGCCCCTCATCCACGCTGCCCAGCGGCACCACGACCTAGCTTTGCTCACCAACCCCACGCACTACATCTTGAATGCTGGCAAAGATGGGCTGCCCATCTCAGACGGGAAGCGGCCCAGCTGGCTGTTGAAGGAGGATGAGCTAATTCTCGATGCAAGGCGAGATGGGTAGCGGACGCCCAGCATGTTTAGAGCTGCACTAGCATATGACCCGGATTTCCTGGAAACAGCTTTGCTTTAATCAATTATTACTGTCCAGCAAGCAGGCCAAACATGCCGCTCGTTGTCGGCACGCTGCACGTTGATTTGTGTTAAAGAGATGTCATCGGTCATCATTTGTTGTACAGTATTTTTAGTGTGTGGCCCTGCACACCATCTAAAAATCTGAAAAAACAGACAGCAACTTGAGGCTAAAGTACGCATCAGCACAGAACATGCAGTGGTGAAGCGTTTTCAAGACTGCAGATGCTCGGGTTGGTTCCTGCCAGGAAGGTGGCACATGGAGGCATACTCATCGCGCAGCCGGTGCTGATGGATGCCACCGGCAGCTGGGGTCAAAACAAAGCCTCCAGACCCCGGCAGCTCAGTATGCAATTGGGGTCTGAGGATTAACTCAGGCTGAAGAGTTGTTTTTCAATGAGTTTAGCACGAACGAGGCCGATTTTTTCCGGCTGGTGAAGTCTTTGTTCAATCAGATCAATAGATTTGCATGTAATTTTGTATGATAAATGCCAATTCTTGAAACCCCCAAACTGGCCCCAAAGTATGTTGATGAATCCGCCCACGCCAGATGCAAGTTTTTTTTTCAGGTGGCTCCGGGCCATCCTCGCCACCAACCGACACCATGCCAGTGCCTTGTTCCACCCATTCGGATGCAGTTGGCCAAAGGGTTTGGAGGAGATGTCTATTTGGTTCAAGTAAGATGTTTGCAAATCATTCAACACACGCACACACACACACACACTTAGGATAGGGTGTACTGAACTGAAAGCGGTGCCACACGCCTGCCTAAGAAACCAAATCCTGAAAAGTCCAGGAAACCCTATGGAGCCTGGAGGTCTTCAAGAGGAAGTGGGGCCAAACTCGCAAGCGAAGTCGAAACGACAGGGTGACGGCGGAACGTGCAAGTCTGCGGAGTGTCAAATGCAACTCAGCAAAATTAAAATTCAAGCAGGTACAGGTGGATGATCAGTCCACCCCTCCCTCGTCATACCGCAGCTTCGTTGCGTACGGTGGGTATGACGAGCCGTACGCCCCTGCTGAAAGCCAATTCAAAAGAATCCCTGTGACTACAAGGGGTACACACACACACACGCCTCCCCGAGGGGAGGCGTAGACCCGAGGTTAAGGCAAATGTGCACGTGTGCGCGCGCGAGACCCAAAAGAATGAAGACATGACAAGAGGACAGGACGGGACAAAGGTGTAGGTGGTTGTGATGAAAGGGGAACCAAGTGCACAGGGACAAACAATGAAACCCACCTGATTATAAAGACCTGGGCCACCTAAAACCTAGGCTTCATGTACATGTAGTTGTGCACGTACACACTAAGGCCGGGACCAATGTGCGCGCAAACGAAAGAAAGGATGAAATGAAAGACATGAAGACAGGAGGACATGAAAGGAAAGAGGAAAACAGAAGTGTGTGAAGGGGAAAAGGATGAAAAGGGAACCAAATGGAGGGGACGAGAACCGATGAACCCAAACCTCATTAAAGAACCTAGGCAAGCCTCGTTGAACATGTACGTACTGTGTGTGCACCTGAGGTGGCGACGGGTCCGTCACGTACAGGCATGAGCCATCTTCAATAAATTCATCAGATCTTGGCAAATAATTTTGGCATAAGCCTCCTGCTGTCCGCTCCGGACACCTACGTTCCCAAAGCCGGGGAACATGGACGTACACCCGTTAGACGGGTCCACGGGAGGCACTCTGCGGGCTCATCCCGGGTTGGCCGAGGCCAGACACACTTAGGATAGGGTGACCACTGAACTGAAAGCGGTGCCACACGCCTGCCTAAGAAACCAAATCCTGAAAAGTCCAGGAAACCCTATGGAGCCTGGAGGTCTTCAAGAGGAAGTGGGGCCAAACTCGCAAGCGAAGTCGAAACGACAGGGTGACGGCGGAACGTGCAAGTCTGCGGAGTGTCAAATGCAACTCAGCAAAATTAAAATTCAAGCAGGTACAGGTGGATGATCAGTCCACCCCTCCCTCGTCATACCGTAGCTTCGTTGCGTACGGTGGGTATGACGAGCCGTACGCCCCTGCTGAAAAAATCTGGCAAATCAAGCAAAGCCAACTCAAAAGAATCCCTGTGACTACAAGGGGTACACACACACGGATGTATATATACATATATAGACACACATACACAGCAACTAGACTACGTAATTATATACTATGTCTGTTATATGCCTCACAGGATAGATAGAAGTGGAATAGGGCGGCATGAAGGATGTTTGCATTTCTCGTTCGTGGAAAACAGAGCAGTTATGAGTTATGAGTCCATTGTGGGCAATTTGCATCTATTACAATTGTTGTATTCACATGTTTTTACAAACCATTCTTCAGTCTTGAGTCACCAGAAAACCAAGCTTGAAGGGCGCAGGGAGAGGGGAGGGAGGATTCTGGTCAATGTGTGCAATGGCTGTGTGGGGGTCAGAGTTTGGGGATGCACCACAGAACGACCCGCTTCACTTGCGCGGTTGGCATTTGTTCCAAGATCCACTGCAACTGGGTGTGGTCATGATTGATTTGTCGCGGGCACCATGCAACAGTGTCCTTGCTCAGGGTTGCATGGACATTGCATCATTCTACGCTGGCAGCCAACTCAGCCCCAGCTTACAAAGTGGCAGAAGAGGCGGTGCGGCAAGACGGATGAGAAGAAACTTTTCTGGAACTATATACAGTAGTAGGTGAAGAATTGGGAGGTGCATTTGGTGGGGTCCCCCAATGCAAAGCCAATTGATGAGCCAAACTGGTGGTTGATGGACATGCGCTCAAGAGGATGGTGTCCATCAACAGGGGATTGATTGCAAGATTGTGAGAGAGTTTCTGTTGTGAGCGGCTCAGATTAAGACATGTATGTGGGCACACATCTCTTCATATCACTTGCTTTGCCCTCTGCCTCTGCTATGTTTGTGCATTTTCTGTTTTTAAAGCCCCTCATGATGTGATCACAACGAGTTCCAAGACAGATTCCAGCCAGCGATGCCCCTCATAATCCTTGGGCTATTTGATAGGACCCGGCTCGGTGTGGAATGGTGTGAACAGGAGGAAAAGCCCAACCTGCCCGCAGCCCAGGAGCTGCACCCGACAGAACGAGCGTGAAAACTTTAACTGGGAGAAGCACTTGAGACTTGGGCAGCATGGAAGGGCCACCTTTGATCTCAAAATCTATCCAAACTACAGAGTGAAACCTGTTCAAACGTGGGCTATGGGTCCTAGCCCCGCACTGCCATGAAGATTCCCAGTAGTCCATTTTGCTGCTTTTAGGGTAAGGCGGGGTTGTCAGTTTTTTTGCTCATGGCCATGTGCTGGACTTCGATTCTTTTGGGATCCATCCTATCACGATGGCTGGGAGACGGCTCTTGAAGGCTCGGTAAACACAGCACTAGAATGACATACATATATATGTATATAGATAACATATGTAGAACTAGAATGACATATACAACGGACATATGACATATATATTAAATTACGAAAGCCAGCCTTCGTAGAAGGCGCTAGCGGAGTTGTGTCTGGCGAACGAAGTGAGTAGTTAGGGGGTCTGGGGGGGTGGCCCGAGAAAGGTATACGTCAACTCGGCACATGCTGGGGGAGGAGGGTGCTTCGAGGGAAGGTTTTTTGAGGTTGTGTTGGAGGTGATTTTTGAGGGGTGGTGATGCAAGAAATGCCAAATGCATCATTTGCATCATCTGAATGGAAAGGTGTAGTTGGCACCTTGCAAGGTATAGAGACCTAGGGTAGCCATAGTGCAGCTACCAGGTATAGTACTTCAAGTTGCCTTTCCGTCAACCGCTTGAGAACCTCTACACACGCACAGCAATCCACAGCTTTGAAGTCTCATTCGTGCTTTGAACTTGTATAGGTGTGTAAGAGGTATAGCAACATAGTATTTATACGGACCCAGGGTAGCTACAAGTAGCTACAGTTCTGTTCCCGGGTATGGCGCGCATGAGGCTTCAAAGCTGTGGTTTTCAAGCTAAATTCAAGGTGGCCTGAGACCAGGGTTTGCTGCCCTAAAACACTCTGTTCAGGCCACCTTGAAAATAAAGGTGTAGTTGGCACCTTGCCAGGTATAGACACCCAGGGTAGCTATGTAGCTGTGGTTTTCAAGCTAAATTCAAGGTGGCCTGAGACCACGGTTTGCTGCCCTAAAACACTTTGTTCAGGCCACCTTGAAAATAAAGGTCTTGTAGCTACAATTCCATGAGGCTTCAAAGCTGTGGTTTTCAAGCTAAATTCAAGGTGGCCTGAGACCAGGTTCAGGCCACCTTGAAAATAAAGGTGTAGTTGGCACCTTGCCAGGTATAGAGACCCAGGGTAGCTATGTAGCTGTGGTTTTCAAGCTAAATTCAAGGTGGCCTGAGACCACGGTTTGCTGCCCTAAAACACTCTGTTCAGGCCATCTTGAAAATAAAGGTGTAGTTGGCACCTTGCTAGGTATAGAGACCCAGGGTAGCTATAGTGCAGCTACCAGGTATAGTACTTCAAGTTCCCTTTCCGTCAACCGCTCGATAGCCTCTACACGCGCACAGCCATCCACAGCTTTGAAGTCTCATTCGTGCTTTGAACTTGTGTAGGTGTGTAAGAGGTATAGCAACATAGTATTTATACGGACCCAGGCTAGCTTCAGAAGAGCACTCCGATACTTCACTCACAGCACTCCTTGAAGAGCATGAGTCGCTTGCGCATAGCCACCAGAAACAAAGGATCTTAGTCTTACTGGAAGTGGAATGAAACACCAGGACCTTCAGAATGACCTCTTTGGAGTCCAAGTGACCTCATTCGGGACTAAGTGACTAAGTGACCTCATTCTGGGATCTCGGACGGTCACTTTGAAGGTCCTGGTAGACACCAAATGATGTCAATGTGGATAGATTTGGCTACGGCCTAAAACATCGGATTCCATCCAAACCCCCCCCTGTGCAGAGGAAAAATCCGGGCAAAATGACACCGAACCCCTCAATTGCCAGGAAGCGCAGGTTTTTGTTTTGACATGGTTACCTCTGTGTGGGCAGAACAAGACATGAAGCAGATTTGACACGCGGCCGCAAGCAGCTGCGCGAGCTCATTTGCTTGCTTCGACGCGCAGTTGTCGAGAAAGGGAAGCGCTGGCTTTCGTTTTGCAGCTTCTCAGGTATAGTATGGATTGTTGTTTACGCACCGTTCCCCCTATGACTGACAGCTTCAATGCCAGGTGTGCCACGTAATCGGCATTCAGTGTGTGAGCTTGGTCCCATTCGACACTTAGGATGCTCTATGAGTACTTGATGAGCCCGCAGAATTTCACCCACGTGCTCATGTTGGATGCGGATGCTGCATTGGTGAAGCACAGCGTGGACATTCTGGGCGTCCTGGCTCAGACTCACCAGATGTTTACAGGCGACAGACGTCTGACAGACGTGTGAAGCCGTTTTGAACGCGCAGCGCGGTATTCTCCTATGTGGGAGGGTGTTAGAGTGTCAAGAATGAGTTTGATGTCGCGGAGTCGGCTGAGGTGGCATCGCAGCGCAAATGGCGCAGCGGAATTTGGATGTGTTTCTGACCAGCGACGCGTGCCTGGCATTTCTCATGATTTCACAATCCAAAATGTGCAAAGAATACTCCCTGCCCTCCGACAGATACAAAAATGCACCCCCAAATTTAAACGAATGGTTTGTGGAGAGCACCTGATTCAGGTGATTCGGCGATGCTTGTTCAGATTTGGTGGGTGCCAGTTTTTCCAGCTTCCAGAGCGTTTGCAAGCTGATTTCGCCAAAGCTTGGAAGCTTGGATGGCGTGAAAGGGGGTCCACCCTGATGTGCCGAGGAGGATTGGCTCCTCAATGGCGAGCGTCGGATCAATGGTGGCTTCTTGATGACCAGGCAAGCGGCAAGCGAAAAAAAAAACTTTGAGGTCTCAACTTCGCAATGTTTGGGAATGTTCGGGATGTTCATGGATCTTCACTCAAACGTTTGCAGCCAGCTTGAGCTTTTTCAACAAGGCTTGGTTTGGTGGAGGTCCCAATCCGACCCTAAGCAATAGGATGCACAGTTGTTGAACTGGCTCTAGAACTTTGGGCCCGGTGGAAAGCAACGCCGGCCCCAGATACTGTTGCGTCTCTCACCACCGCACAGGAATTCAGAGTGGTCGGAGCATTTGTTCAAGGAGATGCCGGCTTAGGTTCGATCCTTCCCTTGCTTCCTCAGATGTGACTCATCAAGAGACACGGTTTTTGGCCGTAGCAAGGATGTGGAGGTCAACAACCAATGAAAAGATAGCCCCAATTCATGGCTACAACAAGTGGACAAGAATTGGCCTTGGTATGCAACGCTCGTCCACTTGCAGATTTTGCAGCTGGACCAAGAAGCTGCCAGTATGTGAATATGCGGTCTGCAGATCTTTCAAGCAACTAGGACAGTGCCACAGGACACCAACTACAAAGCAAAGGCTGTGTAGGGTCTCTCTTTGGGAGATTTGCACCAGCCAAGGAAAAATCCATGCTGTTTTGTGGTACCTTGGACTTTCCCTGCTCATCCAAAGTTTGACAACTTGCCAGCAACATGAGTAACAACATAGTATTGTAGAGGATATCTGCAATTCAAAGGCCTTAGCTATGTTGCCAGTTTGACCACAGATTGATATTGTGAATGTAAAGACCACGGAGAACCTCAGAGGCCTCTCCCAGCACCATGCACCGGCACACATCATTGTGCGAGGACACCTTCCGCGCCCACGTGGTGGGTCCAGGAGGCCTCCGAAGATGGAAAATCGGAGTCTTGGAAGTGGAGTCTGAAATAGGTGATGGGAGCCGAATGTGATTCATGGAGTCCTAGGGTCCTAACTCCAGCCGCTTAGAAGCTGGTTTTCTGGTACTTTTTCTGGTGTCCATCTCGTTCTAAGATTTTCCAGTGGCCACAGGATGGGCAACAGCCAAGGATTGCCGCACCAAGAATGCAGCAGCAATGAGCAGATTTGCTTGAATGACATCATGAGTGGCGTGAGCCTAAGCAGATGCAGATCGAGGGCCCAGGGATATGAATACTGAATTATGATGCTTCTCTATGCTTTCAGCAAGTCTCGGAGACGAGTGTACAAAGTATAGGCACAAACAGGAGACAGGATGGAGTAGAAGTTGTCGATGTAGTAGCAGCTGGTAGTATGTTTTTTGTGTTTTCTGAAGTGAGTGTCGTGCATGTGGCCTTATATAACTGTGGTAGCAGGCCTAGTTGTGGTGGTTGTCTAGCCTGGTTGTGGCTGTGGCGTTTGCTGCTGCTGCTGCCGCCACCGCTGCTGCTGCCCCTGCTCCTGCTGGTGTTCTTGTAGGTGGTGGCGGTGTCGTTGTTGATGTCGTCATCAAAATAGAGGAGGTCACAAACCGAAGTTTGACAGTCCTACGGTCGCTACAGCCGCTGAATAAATATATAGTAAATGCAAAAGCAAACCAGTGCTGCCCGCCAGAGTCGCAAGCTCTCAGGTTCAAGTTTGAACAAAAAGCTGGTCAAAGGGCACATGTCTTTGGAGACTTGCCTGACCACGGGAATGGGACAGGATAGAAACAGATTGCCAAGAATTTGTTTTGAAGTTCCTCCTGAGGGTGTTTCAGGCCCAGAGATTGTCCAAACAAAGAAAGAACATCAAACAAATTGGTACACTGGGGCCTCAATGTCCACGGACATGGGAGATGTTTCACTGTGTCAGCCATGCAGTGAGGGGAGTAGCGGTGACAAGAATACAGTGTGACTGGTGGCTGCTTTGTTTGCGTGAAGCTTATACACAGAGAAGGTTCACGAGTGTAGTGGAGTGTGGAAGATCCACATTTACAGCAGACATCAATCATGATGACACCCAAGACTGATCCTGGGCTGTGTGGCTCAAACGATTGCGATATATTTGGAACCTTTAAATGCCTCAAAAGCTGCGTCAATTGCACTTGGGTTGTGTTGCGACAGGGATCCTGACGTCCCACAGACAGGACGTGACTAGATTAGATTTGATATACCTCCTTCATCTCCTATCAAGCTTTCCCCCGCCTGGCAGCACTGCTGGGTCACATACTTTAGACCCCGATCCCAACTATCCCCAACTTGTTTACCATACCCATACCAAGCTTTGGGTTGTGCCGGTTCGTTCCATTCGTGCACCATTTGCCTTGAGGAAAGTGGCATCATTTACAACCGTGGTGGTTGCACAGTGAAGCACTGTGGCGAGCCCACCACTGATCCAAAGATGGAGGTCGGATACGTGCCAATGTCAGCGTGGGATCTTGTTGGCCGTTCTATATGACCCAAATCATTTGAGGTGTCAACTGATCAAGGTGGGGGTTAGTGCCATAGCTGGGCTTGCGCTGGGAATCATGACATGTAACCCTGAATTGATTTGGGGTGGGCTTTACTTACGCTCCCCACTACACACACACACACGCACATATATATATATATTATACACATAAGGATTGTAATTTACTCAGCTGGATGCCAAGACGCCTTCCAGACTGGCCACAGTTTGAACCATGAAGATTCGGGACCGGGCCCTTGTCAGCAAGGCGCTGGGAATGAAAGACGAGCGCCACTTGGCAATGATGCCATTGAGCCTTGTAATTTTATTTTGCAGCATGAGTGACCTGAAGTCAACATTATCAAGGTACCAATGCATTCTGTAAATCCTAAATTTGGTGTGGGCATTCAGTTTGTCCCCCTTAGTCCTTTGGCTGACTTTGTCAACCAAAACCCTGAATTGCCGTCAATTGGATGTAGACTTTTTGGCTTCCTGCTTCGAGAGAGTCCCAGCGTTCGCTCAAGGCGCTCTCATGGACCCAAGTTCAGAGTTCCGCTTAAAGGCTGAGTTCCGTTGACTCCACGATGGTAGGGTGCGTTTGAAGGATCCGCAGGGCGGATACCGACATGCGTCCCTCCAAAATACTTACAATATTTCACTCAATATTGGTTGATCAACCATGTCAAGGTCATAATGTCTTGACCACTCTTCACTTCCACAAACCGTTGCAGCCAACAATATCGTCATGTTATTCCCTGTGCCCTCAAGAAATGAAATAATGTATATAACAACTTTCCAGAAAAAGCCATCAACCATAAATAGCAACATCCAAACAGGACACCACAACACTCTTCACACACACATATATATATATATATCATATCATATACATATCAGTTGAAACGGCTCAAGCCATTTCAGCATCAAACCAACTGGCCGGACGGCCTTTTGGTAGTGCCGACCTACCCGATCACCACAAGGCACTGATCCACGCGGGCCAGAACGCATTAGAGAATGCGCAGGCAATATTTGGTGTGCCACAAATGCCGGCACAGCTGGATTTGGGGCGATAGGTTGATGGAAAACCCAGGTTTGAAGTGCAACCAATGCGGAGCGCGGTGGCAAAAAGACCATCTACCTGATTTGCGAAGAAAGAGACAGGTGACATGGGCCCCTTGGAATTTCGAGGGGAACGGGCAAAGATGGCCGACCAAGACCTACAAGGAAGCGCTGCTTGAAGCCCCGCCGGGCTTGCACGGTGGCCAGAGAAAGAAAAAGACCAAGAAGGAAAAAATCCCACACCTCGACAAGGCTTTGAAGGACCATTGGGACCAGCTTCCGGAGGCATTCAAGGAGAAGTGCACCGCAATGGGAGTGGTGGCAGCTGAAGCACCACCTACGCCCGATTTGCCGACGCTGATCAAGGAGCACTTACAGAGCCTTCCGGCTGATCTCAAAGAGGCCGTAGAAAAGTTGGTGGCACCTACCCCACCGGAGCCGCCACTAGCTTCCAAAGTCAAGCAGGCTGTGGGAACATTGAAACAACTTACGGAGAAGAAAGCGGCCATCCAGGCCAAAGCTGACTCAGTGAAGACACAGTATACCCAGCTGTTGCAAGATTTGAAGGAGCTCCAAACCAAGATAGAAACAGCCCAGAAGGAGTTGCAGACGACCACATCACAATACAACCAACAGCTGGAAAACCAAAAGCAGGAGGATGCTGAAATGGCAGAGGAACTGTCACCTGAAGCCTTGGTCACCGCTATGGCCAGTGTGGGCTTGCAGGCGACATCGGCCCAGGTGAAAGACCTGGCGACCAAGCTCGGTGAGACTGCTGCAAAAAGAAGAAAGTGCGGGTAACACCGATTTGGTGACAAGGGCGTCAATAGGGGAAGACACAACTACTAGCTTTGCCTCACCTATGGGGACTGGCGAGTGCAGTGCGACTGGTTGTGCAGTTTTTGGCTCAGGATGTGGGGGGCATTCCTCCGGCGGTCCTGACATGGGGAGACTTGCCATCTCGATGGCGAAGCAGGAGGCTGGGGCTTTCCCAGGCTTCACCGGGGCTGCTGGAGATCATGACACCGCCATGATCATGGCCAGCGAGGATGAAGATGAAGAGATGAGGGGAGAAACTATGCGGGGTCACATGAGCTCGCTAGATTTTGTGGCTCAGTGTTTGCAATGCAGGCTGGGCAATCCAAACAACAGGTGTTTCGCCAACGCTGCTTTCCGTCTTTGGTCTTGGGCCGGGAGTTTCATGGAGGGAAAGCGGATGTGGGCACAAACACACGGAGCAGTCATGCAGGCCTTGCAGGCAGATGAAATTGTTCACCTGCCAAATCTCCAAGGACTTGAGAGTTTGTGGGAGACATTTGATGACACCAAGCAAGATGATGCGTCCCATTTTCTGCAGGAATTGGTAGCCTTGGCAGATACCCGTCGGGTGATTCAAGGTTATCATCAAGTTGATTTCCGCCAAGAAGTACACGCTTACCGAGCTTTCCCTTTTCACTTGATTTTCCATGAAGATCAAGGGACAAATGAGCTTGAGCAACTCATCGCAGCTTGGGCCAATGTGGCAGGTGGGCAAGTGTGTGATGGGATCGGACTATGGGTTGCACAAATTGGCAGATATCGGCAGGTTGATGGACAATGGACCAAACACCACAGGGCTCTCCAAGTTCCATCAATTTTCAATCTGCCGTTGACCCTTGATGGGCAAGAAACACGAACGCAGCAATTTTCTCTCATTGGGTTTTTGTGTCACTCCGGCACGGCACACCAAGAAGGGCACTTTTATGCTGTGTTTGTCTATAGAGGGTTGTACTGGCTGGTCGATGATGGTGCGTACCCCAAGGTCACCCAGACGATCAGTGACAAGATCAAACAACAGATAGTTCAGGTGTGGGCGATTCCTTCCAACAGATTGTTGCCTGCGCATGTTGAGAGTGATGTGGCTGACACACCTCGGGCCAGTTCAGATGAACCGAAGGCCAAGCGAGGCTGCGCTGAAAGCATCGGTTTTGATTTTGCCAATGTCACACAGCTTGGGCAGACAGTTCGACAATGGGTGATTACCAGGCCCCGGCGTCCTCTGTTCATGGCTGAAACACATTTGGGTCCCCAAGATCACGAAAAAATGGTGCAATGGTTCACTACTCGGGGCCTAGGAGTGCTTGGAGAACCTGCCGCGGAAAGTTCGAAAGGTGGCACTTATGGAGGGCTCATGCTGGTTTTCCCCTGGCACTTGCATTTTCATTTCATTGAGAAGCAGATTGTTGATGGCTGTGGATGGTATGCAGTCACCTGGACTTTCGCCAACAGTGAACTGGTGTTGATCATGACTTATTTCAAGTGTGGCGAAGGCCTACAAGGGCCCACAAACGCCAGATTGTGGGGAGGTCTGACAGCCTTTGTCAAGCAGGTGAAGAAACCTTTGATGATCTTCGGAGATTTCAATATCACCCCTGAGGTGTTCATGACCACGACGTTGGCTCAAACCATGCAGGTGCAAATCCTGGCGACAGGTGAAGAGACTTGCAACACTGGCAACGAGCTGGATTGGGGGCTTGTGTCAACGCCTTTGATTGCGGATGTCCGGATGCAGGCTGACTGGATGGTGCCATTTAAGCCTCATGCCATGCTTCGTATCAGCATTGCTGGACATTTTGAGGATGTGACAGTCAGACAACTCTCAAAGTATGGGCCTGCTCCACAGATGCAAAAGGTCGAAAGAGAATGGCACCAAATCGAGGCAAAAAATGTGGAGGTCAAATGGTTGAACAAAGAGGCTGATGACCTGACCAATCGAGTTGGGAGCATATATGACAGGATCGAACGATATGTGCTGCAAAACTTGGACAAGCCCAGCCTTGGCCGAGGCACCTCACTGCAATATGTGCAGCGGCCGCTGCATGATCCCAGCAAACCGTGGAAACAGATCGTGAACCTCGGCATCAAGGGGCTTTGCAGAAGCTTGGATGGCACATTGATGCAAACTGGCACAACGAGGCCCCGGTTTCGTGCGCTGGCTACAAGCTGCTGTTCGAAATGTTGTGGCATCAACATGGTGACGAGCACATTCATGTTCTGCTGAACTACACCAAGAAGCAAAGAGAGCTGCACCAACAGACCAGCATGCAACAAGAGACTGAGGAATACCGACAGTGGTTGGCTCAGGCTTCACACAAGGGATGCAAGGGTCTTTTTCGAACTCTCAAGAAGGACGAACTTCCATACCAGCGACCTTTTCAAAATGTGCCCAGAGAAGAGCGCATGGGAAAAAGGGTAAACCAGTGGGGCGCCATTTGGAGAGTGCAGGATCGACCGGTGCGAATTCCTTGCATGGAGCAGCTGATCAACAAAGGCCAAGCAGCAGCCCAGCAGTTCACAGAGCTAAATGAAGGCCAAATCTGGCGCACGATCAAGCAGCTAGCGCTGAAAGCCCCTGGGCTTGATGGCATTGGCTTTGACTTCCTCAAGGCTTTGCCTTTTGGTGCCATGCGTGATTTGAAAGACCTTTTCCACCACATTGAGAGTACGTCCATGATTCCCCACCAGTGGGGCACATCGCTGATAGCCATGCTGCCGAAGTCTCAGGTGATTGAAAGGCCAATCGCCTTAGTAGCCACACTGTACAGACTTTGGTGTCGTCTCCGCAACAACTACACCAAACAGTGGGCCCAATCACTGCAGGAAGATTTCCCATGGGAAAGAGCAGTACCTGGAACTGAGTGTCTCCAAGTCGCCCTCAAGAGAGCTTTCACTACGGAACTACACACAGCGCACAGGCGCAACGTAGTCTCTGTCCTTTTGGATATGTCCAACTTCTACGACCGCATTTGCCTGCAAAAGTTAGCCTGTCGCTGGCTTGATTCAACATACCCGGCGACCCATGCTGCCATGGCTATGCAGGTCTACAGCGGACACCGGATCCTTGAAGCAGAAGGTGAAGCATCCGAACCCTTGTGGGGGACACATGGCATCCTTGCTGGTGATCCACAGGCTCCACTTGCGGCCAAAGTTTACCTTCAGAGGGCACTCAAAGAATTCCACAAGCGATACCCACAGCTGCACACCGACCTGTGGATTGACGACCTCAGTTTTGATGTTGTTGACAGAGATCCACACAATGCGGCACGTGTTGCCATCCAAGCCTATGACTTTGTGAGAAATGAACTTGAAAAGGATGACCTCAAAGTCTCGCCACAAAAGACCGGATTTGTTTGCTCCAATGCAGCTGTCAAGAGGATCCTACAGGAACAGCTCCCACAAGGTGGACCTCGCATTCATGACGTGATGAGGGACTTGGGGGTTGACTGCACGGCCGGACGACTCAGGCGCATCCAGACGATGCGGGGCAGGCGAACCAAAGCAGCTCGCAAAACCAGGAAGCTGCAGTTGTTGAAGATTCCCTTGCAGTCGATCAGATTGAAACTGTACAAAGGGTCCATAGTTGCTGGCATAAGTTGGGGCCATGAGGCCATGGGCCTGGCACCTCAAGTTCGGAGGCGCCTAAAGGCCACTATGGGTCGACAGATGGGATTGCAAAAGACTGGA